GCCTGGCGCTTTCATGGATATTTCATTCTTATTCCTAGGAGATTTCATTGCACTTTTCATATGTGTACCTGGCGCTTTCAATGAATATTTCATTTTTAGTGGCAGCTGACCTTTCAGGGTCCAGGGTGCATTTCCAAATGTAAAATGGCAATAAAATCAGGAAAAATTAGGGCTCATTGCTGATCATCATGTTGGGTAACATTGTCAGGGTCCAGGGTCCAGTTCCAAATATGGTAATATATCCAAAAATAGCCAGAAAAATAGTGGAAAAATTGAATATATATAAAAATGGTATACAGAACATCAGGCACTGCCTTCAGGGTCCACTTCAGGTTCCATCCCAAAAGGGAAATATCACCTGGTTTGACCAAAAAGTGAAGAAAACCAACTGGAGAATGATTTTACCTATCAGGGTCCATGTAATGGGATGTTGGGATGATGGTCACATGACCAATTACCAAAAATGGTCAAAAAACAAAAGTTGTAGCCCTACACTGTAGCTTCCTGAATCTGTTCAAATTATGTTCTGAAGTGCTCCCGTTGTGGAGATATGAGGTAAAGGAATCCCAAAAGCATCGTGTTTTTTTTTTTTGTTTTTTGCATTTTTCTCCATGAAAACAAAACCAAACAATATGATTTCAGTATATTTAGAAAGCTAAAAGAAAGGGCTACAACTATTGTATCATGGGGAAAATGACCAAAAAAGGAAGGTGCATGCCCTAGAAAAGGAATGGTCAGATATAGACTACCAAGTTTACTGATAGACTATAAAAAAGTCAGACTCAACTACAAAGTTTACTGATAGACTACATAAGACTACAAAAGTCGGACATAGACTACAAATTTTACTGATACACTACAAAAGACTACAAAAGTTGGACTTAGACTACAAAGTTAGGGTTAGGGCTAAAAGGTTATCCAAAGTCAACCTAGCCCATCCATCCCATACATGGCACATATTTGATGGGGAAATGGCTGGGGAATATACAGATACATTGCAGGGACTCAATTCCATGTCTAGTTTGAGGAATCATATGCAAAAGAGAGCATGAGAGCCTTTAGAAAAGGCACTTTTTTAGACTACAAAAGTTTGTAGTGTCCGCTTTTTGAGACTACAAAAGTTTGTAGTTGACATGTAGGTTATGGTGTCCTTGGCCCTGTCTAGGTTATGGGGATGAGGTTGAAGGATTGACATGATCTTACATATTGCCAGTGCTGCAGCATCAGTTTTCACATCATGCCCAAGTTGGCTTTCACACTGTCTGCTTTCACATTGATAGCTACTGGCCTGTCCCAAACATAGTAAACTTTGATATCAGCTCTTTGAGGGCTATAGGATGATGAGCTGATTCATCCTGGGAGGTGTCCTCAAGTCACGTCATGTTGTAAGTTGACCATGTATCCATGTATTGAGACAGAACAGTAGATATCAACATGAATGGCCTCCTCTGGCTTGAAAGCCGACTTGGGCATGATGAAAAACTGATGATGTGGCAATAGCAATATGTAAAGTCATGGCAATCCTTCAGCCATATCCCCACATGAACTTGAAGTGGACCCTGAAGGCAGTGCCTGATGTTCTGTATACCATTTTTATATATATTCAATTTTTCCACTATTTTTCTGGCTATTTTTGGATATATTACCATATTTGGAACTGGACCCTGGACCCTGACAATGTTACCCAACATGATGATCAGCAATGAGCCCTAATTTTTCCTGATTTTATTGCCATTTTACATTTGGAAATGCACCCTGGACCCTGAAAGGTCAGCTGCCACTAAAAATGAAATATTCATTGAAAGCGCCAGGTACACATATGAAAAGTGCAATGAAATCTCCTAGGAATAAGAATGAAATATCCATTGAAAGCGCCAGGCATCCAAATGAGAAGCACAATGAGATATCCTGGGTTTAGCAATGAAATATCCAATGAAAGCACCAGGTATATCTATGAAAAGTGCAATGAAATATCCTAGGAACAAGAATGAAATATCCATTGAAAGTGCCAGGCATTCAGATGAAAAGCACAATGAAATATCCTGGGGCTAACAATGAAATATCCAATGAAAGCGCCAGGTATCCATATGAAAATTGCAATGAAATATCCTGGGGTTGAGAATGAAATATATATTGAAAGAGCCAGGTGTCCATATGAAAATTGCAATGAAATATCCTGGGGTTGAGAATGAAATATATATTGAAAGCACCAGGTATCCATATGAAAATCGCAATGAAATATCCTAGAACAATGAGATATGTGATCTCATG